CGCGAGAGGCACGGTTGTGTTTTCGCGAGAGTCACGGTCGTGCTTCTTAGAAAGGGAAAAAATACGTATTTTCTGTTTTTTTTCACGAGAGTCACGGTTTTGCTTCCGCGAGAGGCACGGTTGTGCTTTCGCAGAAACGAAAAAAAAACACATTTTCTTTTTTTTTTCCTTCCACGAGAGTCACGGTTTTGCTTGCAGGAGAGGCATGGTGTGCTTTCGCGAGAGTCACGGCCGTGCCTCTCAGAAACGGAAAAAAATATGTTTTCTGTTTTTTCCTTCCACGAGAGTTACGGTTTTGCTTCCAGGAGAGGCACGGACGTGATTTCGGGAGAGGCACGGGCATGCCTCTTTCGGAAAGGGAAAAAAACCGCGCTCTTGGTTTTTGTTTTTTCGTCCGGTTTTTTCGTGGAAAAAGTTTCCTCAAAACCTATCAACATGGGATCTAGTTTTGAAGATCTCGACGCGAGGAATCCAATAATAAAAACGGTTCAAGATTTGGACGCACGGTTTAAAAGACAAAACGTTTTGAATAAATGAATCTATGAAAAAAAAGAAAATTTTCAGGTTGCGACAAGTGGCGCGCTGCATGTACGCCATTTGTCGCGACCTGGGAAAGTGGAGTGTTCTTTGCAACAAGTATTCCTTAATTAATGATTTTGCTAATTCCCTGTCTCATCTTTTGTTTTGGCAACCTAAATTAGCATATTGTAATGATGGATTTGGACAAGGAAAACGATAGAGAGGGGGAAAACAAGTAGTCCGGACCGGCTGTAGGCCATGGCAAAAGGTGCGTCAGCCTAGGCCCATCTTAAATAAGGGCCATCTGCTGTGAGGCAGTGAACCATCTGCAGTGAGTCACGGTGACACGAAGGACCTCGGGTTACCTCGCACGCAACCTACCAGCAGCCCGATGAGTGGGCCCAACGCTTCAGAAGAGCAAGAGACACAGCTAGGTAAGCGCCAGTAGCGGTGAGAGTTAGAGCATCTCCAGCTGCGTCCCCAACAAATCCTTCCAGACGACTTTTCAGTTATTGGTGTCAAAAAATCGGCCCAGTCGCGTCTTCAAGGGCTCAATTTTCGCTGGCTCGAGTCGAAATTGGCGCCGATGGACCCAATCCAAACCTGACGCGCTGGGGGGCGCTGGGGGGTGCCGGGAGAATCGTGTTTGGCGCGAAAGAGCCGCGGGCCCTCCTTGCCAGCGACTCGTCTCGCTTCTCGCCGCTTCATCGTCCTCATCGCCTCCTTTCCCACGGCGAATCAATGCCAAAGCTGCCGCGCGCTGCCGTGCCGGTCAGCCTCCGCCATTGATGCCTCTCACGGGCGGCACAGTGAAAGCACAGAGTCTATATAAGCCGACCCCAGCGCGCGCCGGTGGCACGCACAGAGTCTCCACCGCCGACGCGCCCTATCTCCCCTTCCTCCCTCTCCCCTCACCGTCCCAGTTCGTAGAAATGGCCGAACAATTACCAGGCGACGGCGCGGCGGCGAACGGCTTCGGCCGCCGCCACCTTCACGAAAACGAAGCTCGACTCCTCTACTGTCCAGGATTGTATGGTGTACTATCTTCGATTATTTCATCTGCCACAGCATGGTGCTCCATCATATACTAGCTTAGATTACTCCCTGCCAAAATGGAAGAGATCGATTTAGACTGAGAGCACGGATTCGAGGTTTATTTCAGGCTTTTCTCTTAGTTAAATGAGCATTGAGAAAAGGATAATAGGATGTCGGTATAACATTTTGCGTGAGTCCTATCGAGGGCTTTTCATTTTGTGAGAATGAAAGATGGGCCATATAATAAAAAAGTGATACACTTTTTTAATCTATTATTGTACATGCCACTGGCTTGTACTCCCTCCGTTCCAAAATAGATGACCCAACTTTGTACTGTCAGTACAAAGTTGGGTCATCTATTTTGGAACGGAGGGAGTAGCTAGCAGCTGTCTATATTATTAACCATGCTCTCATGTCAGTGGGAAAAGGCCACCGCCACCGCCACATCACCACACCCCACCCGCACGGTCGGTCACCGGAGCTCTCCCCGTTCCCATACCCCACGCGCTCCCCGCCATCCCCACTTCCACCAACCTACCTCCCCTGCTCCTCCTCTTCTACCTCTCTCTCTCCACGGAGTACATCCAGCCAGCCAGCCTCGAGCTCTCTCTCCCTCCTCCCTCGAGCGCCGACAGATCCCTGCGTGCCTGACGCTGCGAGCGCGCCTGGGATGGCGTCGACGACGGCGTACGCGCGGCCGTCCAAACTGCCGGGCGCGGGCCCGGGGGAGCGGAGGCCGGCGCCGCCGCGGCTCATCAGGGCCTTCCTCGCCTCCGGCGCCAAGATCGAGCCCAGGAAGCTCGGCGCCGGCCTGCTCGCCGGCTGCTGCCTCGCGCTCCTCACCTACGTCTCCCTCGCCAAGCTCTACGCCGTCTACTCCCCGGTCTTCGGTGCGCGCCCTCCGCCCCGATCCACCAATTACTCCGCTGTACTGCTACTGTACCACATTCGATCTAACAATTACTGCTGCTCTGCTGCCGATTCCGCCGCCAGCCACCACCTCGGCCCTGCTCCAGAACGCCCCGCCGTCCTCCTCCTCGGCGGCCCCGGGGGCCGTGGCCGCCCCGCGCCCGCCCGAAGAACCCGCATTTGCTGGCGGCAAGAACGGCAGCGCCGTGGATCGCGCCGATCTGACGGAGAAGGGCCCGGCGACGGCCGGCTCTCGAGAGCCCGGGGTGCCCGAGGCGGTCTCGAGGAAGGAGCACGCCGAGAAGGCGCCGGCGCCGGCGAACACCTCGGCACCAATGCCATGTAAGGGAATCTCTTCTTGAGCTCTTCTTTTTCTTAGTACCTTAGTAAATGGAAGGAAAGCATAGCAAAATTATCACTCCCAGGCAGGCAGGCAACCACTTTCAGAGCTTCTTCAATGCTCTGTACTCTGCAACCTGGGCAAAAATTGGTTGTGCCCACCACAATTGCCCACTTCAATTTTTCCCCGGATTAGTAGTTTTTAGAAAATGTGCTGGATCTTTGTATAGAAAAAGAAAATGTGCTAGATCCTTTTATAGAGAAAGAAATGTGCTTGCTAGATCTGCTGTGTTCTAAATGCGACTTATTTCCGAATTATTAGTTTTTAGAAATGTGCTACTCCGTCCGTCCCATAATATAAGATCTTATTATGGGACGGAGGGAGTAGATGTTTTTTATAGAAAAAGAAAATGTGCTAGATCTTTTATTTTATTGAGAAAGAAATGTGCTTGCTAGATCTGCTGCGTTCTAATGTAACTTTTTTCTGGATTAGTAGTTTTTAGAAATGTGCTAGATGGTTTTTATAGGAAAGCAGAGCAAAATTATCACTCCTAGGCAGGCACGCAGGCAACCTCTTTCGCAGATTTAATGCTCCGTGCTCTGCAATCTGGGCAAAAATTGGTTGCTCCCACCACTATTCCCACTTCAATTAGTAATTTTTCCCCGGATTAGTAGTTTTGTTAGAAATGTGCTAGATCTTTGTATAGAAAAAGAAAATGTGCTAGATCTTTTTATACGTTCAATGCTCTGTACTCCACAATCTTGGCAAAAATTGGTTGCCCCCACCATAATGCCCACTTCAGTTAATTTTTTTCCAGATTAGTAGAGTAGTTTTTAGAAATGTGCTAGATCTTCTTATAAAAAAAGAAAATGTGCTAGATCTCTGTGTAGATAAAGAAATGTGCTTGCTAGATCTGCTGCGTTCTAATGCGACTTCTTTTCTCAGGATTAGTTGTTTTTAGGAATGTGCTAGATGTCTTTTATAGAGAAAGAAAATGTGCTAGATGTTATTTATAGAAAAAGAAAATGTGCTAGATCTTTTATTTTATTGAAAATGAGAATGTGCTAGATCTGCTGCGTTCTAATGTGACTTTTGATGGTGGATTCAGCTGATGGAGAAAGGAAGAGCAACAGCAGCAGCAATGTCGGCGCCGGTCCGATGAGCTGCGACGAAAATGGTATGGACGAGGGGTTCCCCTACGCGCGGCCGGCAGTCTGCGAGCTGTCCGGCGACATCCGTGTCAGCCCCAGCCAGAAGACAATGTACCTCCTCAACCCGTCCAGCGGCGGCGGCTTCGACGAGAAGGGCGAGAAGCGGCTCCGGCCCTACGCCCGGAACGACGACTTCCTCCTGCCTGCCGTGGTGGAGGTGACTGTCAAGTCTGTCGCCTCCCCTGAGGCCGCGCCACAGTGCACGAAGCAGCATCGCGTCCCCGCGGTGGTGTTCTCCGTCGCCGGGTACACGGACAACTTCTTCCACGACAACACGGACGCGCTGATCCCGTTGTTCCTCACGACGGCGCACCTGAAAGGCGAGGTGCAGCTGCTGATCACCAACTACAAGCCGTGGTGGGTGCAGAAGTACACGCCGTTGCTGCGCAAGCTCTCCAACTACGACGTGATCAACTTCGACGCCGACGCCGACGTGCACTGCTTCTCCCGCGGGTACCTCGGCCTGTACCGCGACCGCGACCTCATCATCGCCCCTCACCCGACCCGCAACCCGCGCAACTACACCATGGTGGACTACACGCGCTTCCTCCGAGCCGCGTACGGGCTCCGCCGCGACCAGCCGGCGGTGCTCGGGGCGGAGCCCGGAATGCAGCCCCGGATGCTGATCATCTCGCGCACCGGCACGCGCAAGCTGCTGAACCAGGACGAGGTGGCCGCCGCCGCGTCGGAGCTCGGGTTCAACGTGACCGTGGCCGAGGCCGGCGACGACGTGCCGGCGTTCGCGGCCCTGGTGAACTCCGCCGACGTGCTTCTGGCCGTGCACGGCGCCGGGCTGACCAACCAGATCTTCCTGCCGACCAACGGGGTGGTGCTGCAGATCGTGCCGTGGGGGAACATGGACTGGATGGCGACCAACTTCTACGGGCAGCCGGCGCGGGACATGCAGCTCCGGTACGTGGAGTACTACATCGACGAGGAGGAGACGAGCCTCAAGGACAAGTACCCGAGGGATCACGTGGTGTTCAAGGACCCCAAGGCCCTCCACAAGCAGGGGTGGCAGGCGCTCGCCGACACCATCATGAAGCAGGACGTCAAGGTGAACATCACCAGGTTCCAGCCCTTCTTGCTCCAGGCCATGGACGAGCTACAGGAGTAGCTAGCAGGATCGTCTCCCCAGCCAGCCCAGGTAAACTCACATCACAGCCACCAAGCACTGCACAACAAGCAAACACAACAAGGAGAAATGCAGACTAATGTGATTCTAGGACTAGTTGCTACTGCTGCTGCTGCTGGAAAGGGTGATGATTTGAATCTGATCAAAAGTGGGGGCTTCAAAGTAGATGGTTGTTTCTGTCATGTTGAGGATTCAAAGAACCTGCCCTAGTGGATCGTCTTGTTGTGCAATTGTCCTTGCTACTGTAAATGGAAGGATCATGTATGCTTTCTCCAACACCCGGGAAAAAGCCACTACTGTGTTGCTAATGTCCTTGTCTCTATGAAAGAGTAGGAGCATCATGTTTGGGATGCGCGTAGTCAATTTTGGGAATCACTGTTGTGTCGAAGGTCGAGAAGTTTGGCTGAAATTTGGACAGTGGAAGGAAAGAACCAGTGGAATTGGTGAAATCTGCACACTGGAACCAATTGCGAATGTGGCGAGAATGATGATGGTTTACTGGTAGGCTGGACAGCTATGCCTTCTGTTAGTCCTCTATGTTTATTTTCATGTGAGGCTTTACCTTATCTGTTGTTGTTCAACTTTGTGGCTGTATGAACAAGGTCTTCTTCCCAAAAGGCTTAATGGCTTGTTATATATATGGTTTCTATGCAGATATGTTCTGTTACATTACATGCTATTAAAAGGGATGAGAAAAGTGGCCACAATATTTCCTGTCACTACAAAAATACTCTAGAACTGAAAAGATTTCCAGATTTCATATCTAATAGCGCTTGCTTTTTCTTTGTTAGTACGTACAACCATCAAAACCATGTGGTATTTTTTAGAAGAAAATTGGTATATAAATGTCAGTATCTACTAATACTAAATTTGACGAAATGGCACTTTTGTGAATCTGCAGTTGTGCCTCAGCTGTGTTGCAATTTCTTATTTCCACATTTGAAATCTTATCTATTTGCATTACATCACTGTTAGTTTTTTCTGCTGGTTATCTTTCTTGTTAGGTACAAATTGCACTCGCAGTTATAAATGTTTGCAAATGCACAATCATGATAATCTAGACTTGGCATGATGCAAAATTTTCTTTTCAGAAGTTTCCTTTTCTCCGCAATGTGTTTTGGCAGAAAGTACCTTCAGAAAACCACTGAAACTAGGATGCACATAAGGGTTGTGTGATGATCCTTATAAGTTCTGTGGTGACATGTTCTTTTAGAGGTAGTTTACGTTTAAGAATAAGATGTCTTTGGTGGTTGCACTTTGTATGCTAAGGGAGAAGTGTTCGGATAAATGTTCAACTGTTTTCTTTTTTTGTGGTAGTTTGGGTATTTTCTTTTTTTAGATCAAGAGAACATTGGATACAACCAAACAATGGGCTGACTAAACCCGTAGACACAATAACTAATCATGATCATAAAATCATATGATGATACTCTAAATAAACCTATACAAATACAACGACAATAAGCTGCATTTTTAAAAATACAGGAAAATTTAACAGCAGCGCTTTTCAAAAAAAAAACGCTACTGCTACTTAATATTATCAGTAGCGCTTTCCCTTACAAAACGCTATTGCTAACTAGGTATAGCAGTAGTGTTTGCTTTCAAGCGCTACTGCTACTAATTAGTTGTAGCGCCTTACTGGTAGAGCTTGTACAAGCGCTACTGCTAGCTATAAAACAAGCGCTACTAGTAGGGTTATCCCTGGCAGTGAACGGCTAATATCTGGATGGCCCGTTTCGCGCCCTGGATCGACGCGAGCGAGGAGTTGTTACACGCAATCGCTTCGGCCTTTCATTAGAAATGGTAAATTATTTTTATATATAACACCTGAACTAACTCTATAGCAAACATTTACTCCTCAATATATTGCTCAAATTTAAATAAACTTGTAACCTAAAAAACACCAACATCTCTCTCAACGAAGGGTGCATGAGCTCAAGAGTTCTCTCACTGACCCATTTTTCGGTGTTTGGTAGCCTGCACGGAGCCTCCTCAGCATGCACGAGCTCAGCTCAAATAGCCTCTTAGCATGCACGAAGAGAGAACACCCCGACATGCGTTCACTGGTCAGCACGCATGCATGAGCGAAGCGAGCGATAATGTGTTTAAAAAATGTACTGAATTTGTAAAAAATATATTTAATTTTCAGAAAATGTTGAGAATACCAAAAAATTTCAAACTTTCGAAAAATGTCCAAAATTTAAAATTTTGTTAATTATTTAAAAAAAATTCCAAAATTTCAATTTTTTTAAAGATTTTCAAAAAATGTTCAGAATTTTAAATTTTGTTAGATTGTTTTAAAATTTGGATTTTAGAAAAAAATGGTTTTCAAAATAATATCAGATTTTCAATTTTTGTTTAGATGTTTAAAAAAACAGAAAGTCAATTTTTATTTTTTTTAATAAAAACTTTAGAATTTAAAAAAAATGTTTAAATATTCAAACATTTTTTCCATGTTTCAAAAATTTGATCACATTTTTGAAATGTTTTGTTCACTTATATGAAAATACCGGTTGCTACAGTGTCGATCGACATGTCTAAACAGATGCAAGCTGCCAAACAGAGTCTCAGCTTAGCATATCTCGGCACATACACCGCTACCAAACAACAACAAATGCATGTACTTAACATGTCTACACTGAGCATGTATGAATGGAGAACAGCCATGCTAGGCTAGGAATGCTACCAAACACAAGCATTTTGATTTAAAATATTCAGAAAATTATAAGTATAAGAAATATTCTTTGTCTCTTGCACACCTACAAAACTAACCGTGTAAACTTAAATAACATACAACAAATTTCCAATTCCCATGGTCTCCAGGTCCCCTGGAATTCCCCAAAAGACCTGACATTTGAAAATATATCCAATTTTACCTTTACATCTACATATTGTAATATTAATTACTACATTGCTAATTTCTGCTCCTCTACATCTATCAAACATACATCACCTTTTCTCTCCAAAGCCAGCTATGTAGCTAATCAAAGCCTTTGTTTCACTATCATCATTATCAGTATCAGAACGAACACGGGTAGAATCTTATCCCCTCCCAGCCCCCGCGTTGCTCCGCTCGGGGCGACTCGGGCGGCGACGAATCCCTAGCGCGCGCCGCCGCCCCCTGCTAGCCCCCCCTCCCTCGCCGCCACCAGAGTAGGTCTCCGGGCAAGCCAGGGCGCCCGACGAGGACGGTGGCGGCGAGGATCTGCTGCTCCGCCTCCATGCGCAGAGCCACGGACGCCGAGGCGGCGGCCTCGGAAGGAGAGGCGGCGGCTGGCTCTCCGGCGAGCAGCGGTCGCGGGTGCTGCTCCGCCCCCTCGGCCGCGCGGGCGGCGTGGTGACGTCGGTCGTTTGGTGGCTGGTCTTCGCGTGCGGCCTCCTTCGGCGGATGGCGCCAGATCTGCAGGTCTTTCCCTCCCCCTCTCATAGCTCCTTCCACCCCGGCGCTGCTGGTCCTTGGCGGTCCCTGATCGCCGGATCTGGTGCGTTTGGGGTGCGGGAGTGGCGGCAGTCCGGGAGAAATCCTTGGCCGGTGTGGCCCGGCCACGATGGTGACGACATCAACTGTTGACGTGCCCCTCCCTGGAGGCTCCGTCGAGGTTCTGTTCCCCTCTCCCCCTCTCGCCCCGGGTGAAAACCTCAGCCTTTTGGATGGGGCGGCAGCGGCGCTCTACGCCGTCACCTTCCTGGAGGTGCCGCTCAGGTGGTTCGAGAGATGCGAGGGCGTTCTGATTTGGGGATAGGGGGATCGATCGCGTGGTCCGATTTTATCGTTCTGCGCTTCCTTCCTCAGCTCCTTCGATCTTGATAGCTTCATCCCTTCGTGTGTGGCTCTATGCGTGTGGGCGAGGATCTTCCAAGGCGAGCTTGTCTCAGCTGGGGGCGGGGCTGAGTATCTCTCAAGGTTGTTCGTGGCTGCCATCTTCTCTGGCTCTAGGGTGAGCTTCCCCATCTTCCGACGGTACGGTGTCCTTCGAGCCAGGACGAGGGGCAGGGGTCCCCTTCGGAGATGGTTTCGGGTAGTTTGTTGCAGCTCACCACTCCTGGTGCAGATGAGGGCATGCTTCCTGCCTATGATGGGTCTCATCTTGTTAGTGCTTCCGCTCCACCTATGGTGCTCATTCTGCGGCTGGGGACTTCATCGACATCAAGCGAAGCTTTGTTGTCCATTTTGTTGTAGTGCTTGGTGTTGTTGAGGTTTGTAAGTTGTCTAGTAGCACCATGTATCTGCCGTTTTTTTCTGTTTTCCTTTTGTAAGGTGCTGTCCGTTGTAACTCTTGACCGGTTGATGACTTTGTTAATTCAAAGTCGGGCTTTCTCTCGAGCCTTCGTTCTAAAAAAATCAGAACGAACACTATATGATCCTTTTCTGCGAGTGGCTCTAAAAGTAGAGCCCTCCAGCTTTGTTTCCCCACCCATAGAAGTCATCTCGGAATTGTTTTTATTGCTAGTAATAAGCAAACTAAGTGGTATTAACTTTGAGTTTTGGCGGCAAAGGTTGGTAGTAGCTCCAACAAGGGACGAAGCTCAACCAGAGGGAATGTCACGATCTGGTTGGAGATCCTCGACTGTTCCGTCTGCTCTGAGCCCCTCAGAACAGCAATATTTAAGGTAAATATGCTACGTCCATGGATATGTTTACTTTTCCTCAGACTCCAGCCTCCGGTAAGCTTGGGATAATATCCGAATTTTGATGAATCTATAGTTGGGTATGGCGCTAGTTGTCAAGAAAGTGCTTATTATGAACATAATTAGTAACGATAGACAAAATAAATAATTATGAAATATAATTGCAATTGAAATATGATTTTTGTGAAGATGCTTGTTACATTTATTAAAAAATTAGTGAAACTGATTTTAAGGCTTTTGAGAAAACTGTTGTCTGTTATTTCAAGAAACTAGTTTCCTCATTTCAGAAAACAATTGTGAATATAGATGTTTCTATCCACGTATTTCACGCAATATATTTCTGTGTGTGACAG